CTGGCTTTTTGGGGTGCTTTTTTGGAAAAACAAGAGGGTGATTCATCTTGTTTGAGTTTGTCCCTAAAATAAAAAGGGACATTGCATTCGTGTAAATTAAATTTCTTTGGGGGGAAAATTCTTTTTAACAAAATATTGGGAAATTTTCCTTTTTCCTTTTGAAACATTTCAGGGGTCTTTTGGAAAATGTTTGGGAAAACCGGAGATGGGGCCGCTTTTTTGAAAAGAAACATGTACCCATGATGCTCTAAGGGCGGTTTCAGTTTTTTCTGGATTTGTGCCTCATTTAAAGTATGGTTTTTTGTGGAACTTTTACAATAAAAGTTGTAATGTTAATAATGGTTTTGTGAAAATGGTGTCATTGTTTTAAAGTATTGTCACGTTCACTTAATAAATATCATTTGTCATTATTAGTTTGGATTCTTGAATCTAATTTTCTTTTTCCCTTGTGAGTCTGTAACTTCCTGAATAGAAGCAAATATGAAGTCTCCACGGAATTATATGGCACTCTTTGGTTCATACAAGTATGCATACATACATACCGCCTCCGTGGTCGAGGGGTTAAAATCCAAAGGGCTTCCCAATTTCCCGTTAACCCCCTTCTCGCGGGGGTTTGATCCCCCCGGGGGATGCTTTTGGATTTTTGCACGGGGGGGTATTTTTTAAGGAAATGATGTTTTTCCCCCAGGCGATGGTTTGGGAAAAATAAACCCGCCTATATGAAATGAAATACGGGTTTGGGGCAAAGGGGTGGAAAGAAACAAACAAAACCCAAAAAAGCATACCCTACCCTTATGGAAATTTTCCCCATATAAAATGACTGCGTAGCTATATTTGATCTGGAACTTTTAACTTTTAAAAGCGTTTGCTACTATTTTTTTTCCCATCAAAATTTAAAATTTAAAAGATTGTAAATTTTTATTTTCCCTTTTATTTTCAGAAACCCTTTTTGGCAATAGCTCGACAAATCACTGGGTCAGCAACACAAGAAAAACGTGGGAAAGTTATCATTGCCCGCCTAACTAAATTTGAAATTTGTAGTTGTTGGCAGTTCCTGTTGGGGTATATATTTTTCAATAGAAAAGTTAGGTAAAATCATATTTTTTCCCTTTAAAAAGTTTTAATTTTTAAAGGGGAGACGGTTTTGGGGTAGTTTGTTTACCGGGGACAAAAATTCGTTTAAAATTTGGGGTCAAAACAAGAATAAAAAACAACATATTTACAAAAACGAACCTAATAATTTTCCTGATATAAACTTAAAACCTTTATGATGGATGATGCACTATTTCATTATCCCTCATGTACAGACTCAATAAAATCGAATGTACAATTTTCATGTAATTTTGTTGTGATAAATGCTTCCGAGGGATCATACTTTTTCCAGATTTTTATAAATGATTTAGGAATATACTCCAAAACACAAAAAATTTTTTTTAGTATTTGAAAATAGCTTAAAATCAGCTTGGGTCAAAAGGGTAATTTTTGCTAAAATTTATATTAAATAGAAATTTTTTTGCGGTACAAGGGAAAAGTGGGGATTCCCAAAAAAGGAAACCCCCAAAACAAGCAACAAAAACGGTTCAAGGGTGCCCACAAGGGTTTCCCAGCAAAACAAGGGGCCCCGCAAGGGGTTTCCCCAGCCAAGGGGGCCCCGCACAAAGGGTTTCCCCGCAAGGGGCTCGCAAGGTGTTTCCCGCAGCCCAAGGGGGCCCTCAGCAATGGGCCCCGCAAGGGTTCCTTTAAGGGGCCCAGGCCCGCTTTGGTGCCCCGCAGAAGGGCCCCGCAAGGGGCCCAGCACAAGGGGCCCCCAAGGTGCCCCCGCAGCAAGGTACCCAGCAGCAAGGGGCCAGCGACACCAAACATAACAGACGATGGGACAAAAAAAGGGCAAAGCAAGGGGCAGGTTTTTGACACTCCTATTCGGAAATGAAAAAATCAAATAATTGTCCGGTATTACACCCTTAAAAGGGGTTTAAACTTTATTTGATGGTTGTTTTTAAAATTTTAAAAATAAAATTGGGTTTTCATGGAAACCAAAAATGGTCTTTTCAGAGTTGTGAAAATTTAAATGCCTCTTTTAATACAAAAATTTGGGGAATATTTAATTTTTTACGTTTTTTTTTTGAACAAAAAATTCCCCCTTAAATCCCTTTTAAAAATAAGGAAAAAAAAAAATTTTATAAACCTTTCGTTGATTTATGCCCCTTAAAAGTCAGTAGATATTTTCCCCTTTTATTTTCAGTCTGAAAAAAAAAAGGCGGAAAATGTAAACGTGCGGTAATTGTTTAAGTTTGTCAAATTTTTATCCGGGTTAAAAAAAAGGGCGGCATTCGATGAAACCCTTTCCAAAAAATTTTTTTTTCATTCACATTGGGCTTTTTGAAAAAGCTTTTCAGGTGGGGGGTAAAATTTTTTCTCAAGGGGGCCCCCTTGGACGTCCCATCTAACCCTTCCCCAAACCAAATTACCTTTCGTAGGCCTTTGTAAAAATTATCTCCGTTTTTTAAACCCGTTCTTACCCCGTTTTTATTATTTTCCTACTCTGAAATTGTTTATGTTTATATTTTTAAACTATGGAAATTTCCCTTGCTGGGTGCCATACTGGCTCCCTTTGGGGGCCCGTTGAAATTTGGCCCGGGCTTTCGTTTTGGGAAAGCCCCTTTCCTTGTTTTTATTTCTTTTTCATAATTTAAAAGCCCCCTGTGTTTTTAAAGGTTGTCCCAAAAGAAAATACCGACAGAACTTAGGGAACCCTTTTAGAATTTTAAGTCCCCACCCAATGTAACATTCTTTTGTAAGAACAAAAAAAAAAATATAAAAATAAAATTTCTAAGCGGGTGCAATGTTTAGTTTTTATTTAAACCCCCTTTTTTACCTTTTAGTTAAAAATCTTGGGACAGCCTTCCTTTTTTTGGGGAAAAATGGTTTAAATATCAGTTTCGTACCCTTGTTTTTCCAGTTTCGGGAAAAAAATCCCTTGCGTCCCGAAAATAAAAAATGCGTTTAAATTTGAAAAAGAGTGACGAAATTTAAAAATGACCGGTACTTTAAAAATGCATATTTCCCCCACGTTTTTTGCCGGTTTAAAAAAAATTAACTATTAAAACCCGAAAAAAAATTTGGGTTGTTTTGGGCTTTCATGTTTTCAAGTACTCTGGTTTTGGTCATGTGGGCTAATTAAAAGACGGGATTGTTTTTAGCCCGAGTAAAAATAAAGAAAAACCCGGCCTTAAAAAAAAGGAAAAAGGGGGGCGTTCAAAAAGAACGCAACCCCCACGAAAGAAAAAAAGAAACCCCGCGGCAAGGAGTCCCCGGAGGGCCCCAAAAAAAGGATAAAAATGAAAACTTTTTTTTTCATTCACAAAGGGAATTTAAGAGATTTAAAGAAGTGGGTTTTCTAATCTATCTTTCAGTTTTAAAGGGGAAAAATTAAAAATTAGCTTTACTTAATTTTACATATAATTTATATTTTTGGGAGGGCCCAATGCCTTATTTTTAAAAAAAGGGAACAGCTCGATTGGTAATACAACCCAAAGGTGAAAAATGTCGTATGCCCCTTTCCTTTCCTTGTTTTGGGCGGATGAGATGAAAAATTAAACATCCTTTCGAAAACAGAAAAATTTGAAGGACTTTTTGTTCCCAATTTAAAAAAATTTTTTTTTGTTCAAAAGATAAAGGGGAAGGAAAACGCGGGAAGGGTTTCTTTGCCCGGAAAATCATCTTTTCAGTATAAGTGAACTGTAAAATTTAAAAAAACCGGATCAGTTTTTATAAAACGTAAACGTAATTTGTAAAACATAAAATTTTAAATAAATTAAAACAATAATTAATTTTTTAAGATTTAGAATCATCAACATTTTTAAAATCAAATTTTGTAACCATCAAAACAATTAATTTTTAATTTAATCACAATTTTTTAATAATCAAAATTTGGGAATCATTTATAAAAGGGGAAAAAAAAGGGAAAAAAAATAGGGAAAGGGTTTTTTATATCTCTGTTTTGAATTCATTTTTCCCCCTGGGAAATTTTCTCTTTTTTTGTTTTTTTTTTAAAAAAAAAGCTTTTTAGTACAAAATGTAACGTAAAATTTTTTTTAGCATGTGTCTGGCTTTCCGTAAATTTTTCGCTTGGCCAAATTTTTTAAAAAGTGTTTTTTTTCCCGGGTTCTGGTTTTAAATAACTTATTTTAAAAAAAAAGGGGAAAAAAAACTGTGTTTATGGACTTTTCTTTTAGGGGGTTTGTATTTAAATTTGGGTTTTGATTTTTAAAAGTCCGAAAAAAAATATATCTTAAAATTCGATCATTATACCCGGTCTATTTTCCTCCCTATATAAAAATTTTGAAAATTTTTTTAAAATTTTTTTAATTTTTTGTTCTCTTAAAAATGATTTTTTTGACTTGATGTATGCCATGAATTTAATTTTTGTTAAAAAAAATATCCGGAGTGCAAAGATCTAAGAAGTAGTTACTATTTTAAGGGCTTCAGTTTTGTAGAAATTGGTAGTTGAATATTCGAATAACCAAGTCCCTACTAGGTGGTAGTTGGTCATTAGTAATTCCCCTTTTTTAACAGCTGGTAGTTGGTAATTCAATCAATGAAATGTTCGAACACATCTTACTTTTTTTAAACACAGAATAAAGGAAGGTACCTGGTTGGTTATTCGTGCGAATCCCCAGCTACCTACAAAAAGGCAGTTGGTTATTCGACGTTTTCATGTTTTCCCCTAAAAATAAAAGTACTTTTTCCTGAATAAAAATTACGGTAGCTTGACTTCTTTTGTGGACCCAAGGAATTATATTAACAATTGTAAAGTTGGCTCTTGTCATATGATATAGTATTGCTGATGAATTAATGAAACTTAAGTGCAAAATCTATAATAAAGTATGGTAGGTGTTAAATTGTATTGTTTTTTATCTAGCTATGCATTTCTTTTTCTGTTACTCGGGTAACTACTTGATAAAAACAGTATATCTGTGGACTTGGTGGAAAAACTTCCCGATTCAATATTTCAAGATAGAATAACCAGATTGTCTCAATAGTTATATATTCTACCTTTTTGTTATCTAATATGTTTAACATATGCAATTAAATGCTTGCATATGCATCTTTTATTTCATATAATGTCACTTATATGTGAAATTATTTTAGATATATACCACTCAATATATAAGAAACAAACATTTTATTTTTCACAATAACAACATGAAACATTTCATGACAGTTTTCTAACTGATATTTTATTAACAGTAGAACCTTTCTTTAGAAAATACATTTACTTCTTCTTTATAATGTTCTCTCGTTATGATCACAAATCATAAAATAAACTTTACAGTCATTGTAATATCTATTCTCTATTCAAACGATTCCATATTCGGTTGAAGATACAGAATAAACTCTCTTTAAATCAACTGGAATATTCCACTTATTATATAATCTTGTCATAGATAGATAAGTTACAAAATTATTGGCTGCTACAAATTCGTTTGCTGCTTCATTTTCAATTGGCTGCGAGAAAATAACTGGCTCGTTGTTAGGAACGCAGCTTGCAAGTTTACAAAATAACGCACGTGCAATACAACTGTCGTCTGCATATAGTGGATACATTCTATGCCCAATATCAGCTGGTCTAAGAACGCCGTACCCACAAATACGACCGTTTCTCAATGCGACGTATGTATTAGCTTTTGACCATGTTGCCCAGTTGCAGATATAAACTGCCCTCGGTACTGTATGAAGTTCGGCGTCATATGACACAAAATCTGATATTTCTACGTCAGAAAGAGGTACTATCTCAAAATCGCCAGTAGGCGGATCTTTGACAAAGTCTGGATTCACCGGCCCAGCATTATAATGTATAGTGTACGATTTAATTGTCCAGCCAAATTGAGCATAAAAGGTCACCCTGTTGCTTAATGAAGTTCCACCAACGTTCCGGTCTTGCATTACATCCATAACATTGCGAAACAATTTCTTGCCTATCCCAAATCTTCTGAATTCCTCCTTCACAATATTCATTCCAGACGATGCAATTGTATCACTGTGGGCAAGTATTCCGTTATGACCTATAAAAGAAAATACCTGCCTCACCTATATACGTTATTTCAAGTCATTGGCAACTATTTTAAAGCCTTTAAAGGGAAAATTTGAATGAAATCATCAACATGAAATTTATTAATAATAAGTATACCACCTATCCTATTTGAAATGGATTTTATTTTTAGAATAACAATACTTCAAAGTTGAATTTAATTGTAATAAATTGGTAACATTCGTTTGTCTATTTTTGATAAGAATATGTTTGATGTATAATATTGAAAAGTGCACATTTATGACTTTTAAGTTCTCAATAAATGTATCTAACCGATGACTTTGTTATCTTCTGTTACCACCACGACTAGACCACTCGGATCTGTGTTGAACACACACTCTAGGTAAGCCTTTTCCATGTTCCATTGATTTTCCGAAGTCAACTCGTACAACCCTTGTATGTCACAACGTCGCATTGGACGCACCTCGTATTTCGGAGCTTCAATAGTTGTACTGCATAACCTTATTCAAATGGAAGAATAAAGGCGAGACACATGAACAATAATGAATAGTATCATATATACTCGGATGTATATATATCATGTAACTAATTAAACTTTGGAAGATTACCTCATCCCTTTTATGACTGATTTACCACCGTAGGGAAGTGTTACAGTATCGCGTTTTCCGGTTACAGTATAGAATTTTCAAGATGGAGGATTATCTGTGGGGAAGAGAGGTAAGTGATTTTTATTCCGATCCATACTACAAGTAGTATAGTTTCTAAGTCATATATGTCTTCAGACCCTGCACCGCAGTATTATTTCTATATTATCCCATAAATGTGCTGATTCGACAGGTTGAAAATTCGAATCGAGACACGAACGCATTTCTCTGCCACTTGTATGTACCTCCACTAGGCTCTATGGGAAAGATATTGTAATTGTCTGACCTTAGTTTATACTCTATATTTTTCAATATTTTTTTCAGAAACACGAAAACTTGTATGCATCCTGTCTTAAATAAAAAAAATAAAAAGAACGACTTTTAATTTAAGAATGACAAAATAATCTTCATTTCAACAAAGAAGCATTCAAAATGACGCCAGGGTCATGATTTAATTTGTTCGATAGAAGAAGGAATTTTAAACATTGCCTTTTTAAAAAATCTATATTTTTGGTTTTAGTATCCCAGATTGCAACCCGAACCGTTTGAACAACTTTGGTAGAGATTCATGTAAATTTGGTCAAGTAGTTACATGTGTACGACAAACGGACGAATAGCCATCGGGCCAATAAGCCGACCAGTCTAGTTAAAAGTTGAAAGTCTATGTATCATTTATACATTTTACCTAGTATATATATATAGAAAATATCGAGGTCAAAGCTGTAACCAAAATCTGGGTATAAACTGTAACAAAATCGAATAAAAATCGCTAGGTCTATGCTGTAAATTCACCGCGCTCTATACTGTAATATGTTTATTTTTTTCAAACGCATTTGACGAACAGGAAAATAGGTTCAACTGGTCGTTTACTTTTACAAACGTTTCTAAGTTTTGTAGGACTACTTTTTGTAGGCATACTTAAATAATGACGGAATGAGAGAAAAATACGTTGGTCTCTAGATTCAATTTTTTAAACTGTCAAATCTGCATTTTTATGAGACAATATAGAGATAATACTGCGGTGCAGGGTCTGAATAAATATATGACTAGACACCGGATCCAGTGCCGTACAAGCAAAGCACAAAACATCTTTTAGAAACTAAACTACTTGTAGTAAGGACCTGAATAAAAATCACTTACCTATTTTCCCCACGCTTAATCCTCCATCTTGATAATTCTATACTGAAACCGGAAAGCGCGATACTGTAACACGATCCCTACGGGTATTAACGTCGTCATTGTTTCATATGATGTATTTATATTTATTGATGTGGCCGAGTGGGGAAGGTATTTGACTTCAAACCCCTTGCCCCTCAATGTTATGGGTTCGAACCCCGACAGGGACTTTGAATTCATACATGTGAGGAAGCTACCCAGCTAGCTTAATGCATGGATGGGCACCCAAGGTCTTCTTCTATTAGCAAAGCTAAAAAGTCGTCTTATGACCTACACTGTGTTGGTGCGACGTAAATACCACCCCACCCCTACCCACCCCACACACTATACAAAATTCAACCCTCGTTCATTTTACTGTTACTGTATATATAAATTCATATATATAAAGTCATAATTATATTTGTTATAATATACTTAATGCGCAGTCTAGCTAAAATTAATGTTTTGATGTTCTACTAACAAAATAAAATATGATTAATTTTGTGTAGTTTGTTCCATAAATATTATAGACAATATTCTAACATGAAACAACTTTCATTAAAGGTGTGATCATCGATTAAAACGTAAAATAGTATAAATTGAATTTTATGCTTTAGATTAATAAAAACCTGAAATGTAATACCCGACAAATGGTGTTCGATTATTCCTGGTAATATGTCGCCGAATTATTTGTCCAGTCGCACGAATAGGTGTTGAGAAGGCCATGTTTACTAACAGAGTAATCTTGACCAGTACGTAGACCTTGTGAATTGCTCAGCTGGACAGGATTATACATAGATAACGTGATGACCGCTTATATTAATCATGCCGTTATGATCACATTTTTATCAGTCTTTACTATAAATTGATATGATAAGTGGTTTTCTTGTAGTAATTTGAATCTAGACCATGTAGACCTAGTTTGTCTGTTTAAGGGCACCGACATGATCAAAGAGGTTATCAAATGTTAACCATTGTTCATATTTAATTTTGAAGTTTAACATAAAATTTTGCTTTACACTTTACATGCTGCAAAAATTAAAGCCTGCTAAAAAGATGTAGACCTGTCTTCCCATTTTACACGAAATCAACAAAACTTTAAGTGTAACTGTTAAATATAGATGCTTAGGTGCTCGGCCTCTGGTCTGGTACCTAACTATTTGTAAAGGCTATTATAGTCGCTCAAAACTGTTAATGTATCTGCTGCTACAAATGAAGGGAGTTTTTCTATGAGATTAACATTTATCTATCTCACTTACCGGATAGAAAAATTCGTAAATGTCACTAAAGATATCGGTGCTCAAAATATCTTATCTCACACGGGCTAGTCTCACACTCTACCTGCAACATTTCTTTACACTTTCCTACACAAACGCGATAACCACTCCTTTGTTAACAGCAATGAAATTTATTAGGGCTAAAGTATTAAAATATGAGAGCATGTCTTATAGGGTGTCCAAGGAGTCGAAATTAATTCAAAATAACTTTTACACTTTGATGAATCCAACTCTACCTAGGGTCCGACTTTATCCTTACCGATTGTTAACTCTTTCCCAGTGGAACCGATCACCCTCGGGTTGGGATTTCCCTATACTTTATCTAACACAATGATATATTTTCTTAATCTGGCTAGTTATTCAGGCTGAGATTGTCATAATATAATTCCGGTAATATATACCATGGAAATATATGAGCATATATGCTTCTTTCTATACTAGAATGGCACAAGTACGTCGTGTATTTTCATCTATACTACAACTAGACAAAAAAATTGATAAGTATTAACTTGTCTTTAAATTATCACAATCTATTCGTTATGGAACATTTCAGTTTTACATACAACAATGTTCACCGAAGGTATACTAGCTTACGCTAGGCCTGAATATTAAATGTTACCTTAACATAAAATTCAAATTTAAAAACTGCAAGGATTTGCATGAGATTCGGTGTCATAAAAGGTTGTAAAACACACGTGTATCAAGAGGTGAAAAGTAATCAGTGTGCAATGTTGTCATAGGTTGAAATATATTGTGGTTTTGTTAATATAAGTACAACATAATACATTAGTTAAAATACATGTATATCAATAAATCTTTACGACGATAATTAAAACGCATTAATCGTGACGTAAATGTGTTGTTGTTTCTTTGTAAGCTGTCATCGTTTATTTCACTTCTTTTTGTGGTTAAAAAAAATATTAAATCATTCAGTATTAAAAAAATCAAATCCTGTTCATTAATTAGAATAAGGCCACAAAAACACTAACTCAATGTTTGTTTATTTTGGCGGTAATATTATAAATGTAATTTCTACAGATACATTTCAATGAACATAACCATATTATTGATTTATGGTTCGATAAGACAACGCAGATTTTTTAACTTTGTACAGGTCAGCAGTTTCGTACGTTGTTTATGATTATGAATTTATCTTAATTATAAGAAAAGTTTGAATGAAGACCACTCGTTTTAAAATTCCCATGCACTTTGTTCAGGCCATTGTCAATGACAGAAACATTTGGGAGAAAGCTTGAGAAATTTCATACACATTCAGTAGCAAGGGTCTATGCACTTGTGTTTTTTTGTGTTTTTTTTTGTTTGAAGAAAACGTGTAAAAGAAAACAAATCAACAAACATCTGCCTATTTACTTTGTGATTCACAAACCTAAATGCAAGGCTACTAAGAAAGTTAATATATGAGCCGCGTCACGACAAAACCAACATAATGAGTTTGCCACCAGCTTGGATCCAGACCAGCCTGCGCATCCGCGCTGTCTGATCAGGATCCATGCTGTTCGCTGTCAGTTTCTCTACTTGTAACAGGGTTGGTAAGCGAACAGCATGGATCCTTATCAGACTGCGCGGATGCGCAGGCTGGTCTGGGTCCATGCTGGTGGCAAACCCATTATGTTGGTTTTGTCGTGACGCGGCTCATATATCACATACAGTAGAAAACCATGGCTTGTTTATCAAAACAAAATAATTAAACAGATGAAAATGTATCGGGTTCATACTCTTCGATACAGTAAAACAATTATCATCATATAATAAAAGAAGTCGCATCTATACCGCTTTCGGGGATAAAAGTGATTTTAAGTAAGCAGGCGGAATAACATAATTATATGGCAGCTTAGAATGACTATTTAATCATGGACATGTATTCAAATAATATACTGTAAATTCAGGTAAGGTAATACTCGTAGTTTTGAAAGTTGTTTGGGGTATATACTTGTACGTTGACTTTGATGCTCGATGCTAGTAAATTTGATTGCATTTGGTCGATCTTTACTTTTTTCCTTTGCCTTTGCTGTAATTTTCAACGCTTCAAATTGATATGTTGTGTCTTGAAACATGCTAGTGACTGACTAGCAATACTTTTTGTTCTGCTAGATATATACATGTATAAATATATGGCCATTTTCTACTTGTGAAGTAACCATTTCTTTTTTGAGAAGAAACCAGGACAAAAACTAATTCTATTTATGTTTTCATAAAGCATTTGATCAGGATATTTTAGTTATTACTTTTTTTTGGCTCGAATATCATTTTATTGCATATTTTGATGATGATAAGAACAATTTAATATAAATATTTGTTTTTATTATGTCCTTTGAGAAATACCTATAACTGTTGTACAATATCAATTTTATTACATCATTTAAACAAATTATATTTATTCACTTCAACAAAGCTTCCTTTTTGTTTAGTGTTTTGAATTTCAAAATATCATCTTTCGAACATACTTAGTTGTGTCTCTTTTTAACTTATTAAATTTTACAATACATATTCTGTGGTCATATATAAAAGTTCTTTTGCCACTTAACTACGCGTTTATCATAAGTTTAATAAAGTGAGGAGTTGACAGGCTTCGCAACTTTGATGTTTATCTCAAGTCCTGCTCTTTACGATGTTGGTGTTGTGGAGCAGCTCGACATTTCTGATTGAGAACCTGCAAAATTATAACTTCAGTTATTAAGTAAATCAAATTATTTATTAAATAGTCCGATGGTTCTGAAACATTTGTTGTATATGATTGAGTACAAAAATGTTGAATCTCAAGTTGGACCTACCGACAGAAGTTTAAATAGATCATCCAAAATGATGTCTTATCAAAATTTGAATTTAAACAAATAGTTTTGTTTATGGTAAAATAACCGTTGCGTCAAGAAGTAACAGATGAAATCATGCAAAGGGCTGCTTGACTGTGATTAAAGGCATCCCTTGTAAAATCATTGTCAACGGAGGAAAAGTATACCTTTACGCTTTGTAAGAAAACTTAATAAGTACTAAGAACTTTTACTTTAAATGCCAATGTGAAAAAAAAACATAATATAAATATGGAATATCAACATATAGTTTTAATAGCTATAACAAACCATTACTTTGCACGTTCGTACTTTTCAACAATTTCGTCCGCCTGAAAAATAAGCAAACACCATGATGGTTGTTTCATTAAATTTTGAATCAAATTTTATAATTTTCTTGATATGGAGCCGAAATATACCAAATGTCAGGTAAAAATATAAAAGTTGCGGAATGTCACCAACAGATCAAAGTAAATTATATACACTTAATAACGAAACTTGATTAAATATTTGATGTCAAACTACTTTATAAAATATTGTTTAGATATATATACCTTAAACAATCCTAAAAGTACAATGGTAAAATTAACTTGAAGAATGTTTCCCATCTTAAATATAATCTATGCTCACCTTTGATATGAGATTATTTTGATAATTGATACACAGTTTCATTGTAAATATAAAATATACATGTTTTGACTTCACAAAAAGTAGATAATGTTACGTTTAAAACTCTACACAGTGCCATTAAAAAACTGGCGGTATTTTTAAGAAAGGACCACCTTTAGTTGACCTGTAATAGGACACGAAGCTTCCCATTCATAGTTTATATTCATTTTTTATATTCAAATTAGAAATATTAAGTAAGAATAACTTAGATTTCAAAAATATTATGTGTTTAAAATATTTTACTCAGGGATAAGCATAGTTTACCTGTCTTTAATTTACTTTGTAATTTACTTTACCTGAATCTTGATCTTATAAAGATACATATTCCAACTGCTGCTGATACAACAACCACACTAGTAACTACAGAAATGATTACTGTTGCAAAGTTTATTCCCTGAGCATGCTCCTGACCGACTGCGAATTTATTGCCAATTACGTCTGTTGAATGATGAAACAGACACATTTACCGTTAAACAACTCTAAACTAATAAGACAAATATTTTAAAAACGCATAGCAAATGCGATGAAGTCAACAGTTATCACTATATAATGATAAAAAATGAAACAACAGCAACATAACTATGTGAGGCCATCAAACTACTAAATTAAACTATAATTAATTATATGTACGGACATTCTGCAATTTACGTATTTTGTAATAATATATAATATTTATTTACTCACCAACTGTAAATGAACAATTAAATCTGCATGCTCCAGTACTAATACTGCAACATGGACATTCATGTCTGCACATTTTCTGACAAAGTCTTCCCCATCGTCCCGGTAGACAAGCACTGCACATTCCACTGCCAATATAGCAATTAAGGCATTTTTCTGACTTACATTTATAATTGCAACTAGTGCCCCAAAAGCCTGGCAGGCACTTTGTACACGTTCCATCTGCCAGTGAGCATACCTCACAATTTGATTCATTGCACCTATTAGAACAGTTTATACCCCAATACCCAGCTTCACATGTGCATTCCCCTGTATTTATGTCACAGCCCCAGGAACACGACTTCTTGCACCAATCTACACAGTATGTCCCCCATCTTCCATCCGAACAACTTATGCACTTCCCTGAATTTTTGTAGCACAAATTTGAAAAACAACTCTCGTTACATTTATTTTCACATGAAATACCCCAGTATCCATTTTTACAAATGCTACATGAGCCACTAGTTGTATCACACTTACTGCAATTCTCACGGCATTGTTTTTCGCAAAAAATTCCCCAATTACCGGGTCTACATGAGGTACAACGACCGGTAAACCTAGAGCATGAATAAGTGCAAGCAACATGGCATGTTTTATTGCAAAATGGACCCCAGTAACCAGATATACATATATCACAATGTCCAGTGTGACGGTTGCATATCGGACACTGTGCATTGCAGCTGTTATTGCAAGAAGAACCCCAAAGATTGGATTTACAATTATAACAGTATCCATCATCTTGAGAACAACTGTTACAAGTTGAACCACAAGACTTTGTGCAAAAGTCGCCCCATAATCCAGATTGACAACCATTGCATTGACCGTTCTTCCTATCACAATAAGTACAACGTGCATCACAAGGCTTATCGCAAAGGGCCCCCCACAATCCGTATTTACAAGAAGAACATTTTCCATCAACTTTATCACAGTAGTTATCACAATAAACACTGCAAGTGTTGTTACAATAACTACCCCAAAATCCTCTTCGACATCTGATGCAGACACCATTGAAATAATCACATGATCCCTGACAGTTCACCTCGCATTTCTTCTCGCAGTTATCTCCCCAATAGCCAGTCTCACATGACCTAACTGAGTATATGCCTAAAATATAATGGTTTACAACAGTATATCATAAAATTTGATGACTAACAATAACTTGTACGTGCACCAAAACGCACAAAATACATGTCAGCATTATATTAAGTACACATTATTCCGGTATGTACGTAACAAAAGAATATCCGATCACTTCTTGACATAGCCAATTACGTATGATTTCTTTACCATTGGACGCTTTTTTTGAATTCTGCTTAAGCCGGTGTTAGAGGGCGTGGATGGAAGCTTGTATTTATAAAGTACCACACATAAAAAGGCTAAATTTAAGCAAGCCTGCAACATGTTCAGTTACAGTTTTAGACGTTCTTTAGGAAATGTTTTTTTTCCCTCTAATTCATAAGATTTATAAATTTCCCCAAATATATAGTGCAAGTTTAAAACACCTACAAATATAAATATATGACAATATTTGAACATGTGCATAAATCTGATTAAACGAACGCTGAATTTCTGTGTAATGACATATGTTTTTTTTTCATCCGCACATTCCGTTCGAAAACCATAAAATTATATTTGACCGTTATGTATAGGTTAGTGTTCATTAGTAAGCAATTTCAGAATTAAATTGGTCAAGAACGGCGCAAATACTAACCAATTTAATGTTTTAAATTACTTTTTTAAAAAAAACTGTCGATTTACCAAAGAAAATGGCTTATTCATTTGGAATACTGCAATTATATTGGACAAAAACTAATTCTAAAAACTTAATTGCGATAGAAATAAGTATAGCATTCAGTATAGCATTTCAGTAATTTTCATTTATTATAAATCGTGTAATAAAGTAAAAAGAATAAACATTTACTTACTTTTCATTTATCAAATTGCTAATGAATATTTATATAAACATTATTTACTACCACTGTAATTAAAATCACAATCAATTTGATAATTACTCACAGCATAAGTATATCACCAACAACAAGGTTATACAATGAAGGCACGTCTCCATAATCATTCGGCTTGTAAACAACTTTTAATAAAACATCGCACTTATCACCATCCTTATACTTACGTTAACGTGTTTCACGCCTTAAAAAGCGTGACTGATCTTAACATCAGTTGACTTTCAACTTCAGTGTAACTCAAACTCATCTATAATGGTAAAAAACTATCATTTTAATTGAAATTATTTCCCTCGCCGTATGACACAAATCAATTATTTAAAGCTCTTTATTATTCTGAAGTAAATAAATTTGGTATTTTATATTGTTTGATATTAGACTTTTTTTTGCGTTTTCCCGGCTTATCCGAGGATATAATAAAAAAAACATACAATTACAGCGCAACAGGTTGACATATTTATTGTGAACGGTAGTGTACAATGACACTATCATGGTAAAAGTTTGTTTGTACCGAGGGATTAACTTGGAAAACCCCACACTCTCCGAGCTACGGATAACAACATATGCGCAGTGTCAAGCAAAAAAGGTCTAAAAATGAATCAAACCCATTTGGAACATAATAATGATGGTATTAAAATAATGCTATGGCATTGAAGTTTGCGATTAAAACATTTGTTTATTACGATTATAGGATATTGGATTTAAAAGAACAGAAGAAGTGAAGTATAAAATCTGAGCTCGAAATCATCGAATCCAATTAGACCAGGGATAGATAAAATGTGTATATCAACTTCGATTTATTCAGCAATTGTAATTGTGAAATATACATATAGGATTCATTAAATATCTTGCAAAATTATTCCATATCATTATTGAAATTCCAAATATGTGTGATATAAACAGTTTGAGTAATAGTCATATTGCAAAATTCACTCAATAATTCCGACTGACAATCATTACACTTCCCACAGTCCGGGTCTTCAAGAATTACATTTGCCATCAACTTTGTCATCACAATCAAAATACTTTTGACCATCACCATCATCAATATAATCGTCAGCATTACTGTCAAATACTTCTGCTTATCATTACCATCATCACTTTAATCATCATTATCATAACAATCAGCATACTTCATCAATATTATCATCATCATCATACTACATATTTACCATTATCTATTACTTTTCAATCGCCATAATTGCTCCGCGCCCATAGGCGCGGAGCTATTTGTGTTTACTTTTTTTTGTCCCTGGGCCCGGATTTTATCAATTAATCCCTTCGATTTACAGCTAAAAATAAATTCTGTTTCAATAACTCCTTTCGATTATTATATTGGTTCCCCCTTCGGTGATTCGCAGCATGTCATTAATGAATGTGAAACGGAAAGCAGTTCTGCTCTACGTGAATTCGAAAGCTATAAATAGCTATACATGTTCTGATTTTTGACACTTAGGTTATAAATTTGTTATTTCCCTTTTTTAGTATTATAATTTGTTATATTTTAAATTACATTTACACACACATATCAAGTATACTATCAGTGATTGAATTTGTCAATATAAAGAAGATTCAGGCACAAGACTTTAAAAATTTTGCTTTTGATAATTATTCTTAATTCATATTTATGAAACTAAATGTTTAAGAAATAACATCGGCCTGAGAGGTATATATCGGCTATTTAACACCGGTTTGGAGTTTTGATGCGTAGGAATTGACCACGAAGGCCGTAGGCCTGAGTGGTTAATTTTGTCGCATCAAAACGACAAAACCGGTGTTAAATAGCCAATATACACCTCTCCAGCCGATGTTATTTCGATTCTAACACGATAAGATAAGGAAAATCACTAATGTTATTTTGCAAGCGGAAATAACTTCCAGTGCCGATTTTCGTATAACGCTGTTCGATTTTCGCACCCTACTGTTGCGAAGATATAGAAATTATCAAACAAAAGAAATAATAAGAAAAAAAGCGTTATTACAATAAAAACTTACCTCGTATTGTGTTTACATCAGTGCCCCATCTATCATTCTTGTATGTATGAAATAACGTCAGCTTGTTTATGAATGAGTTATTTACTTAGGATGACGTCATTACGCTGCTTACGGACTGGCGCCGTTTTGTCAAAATATTTATTAACTGATATGGATCTAATATGTATATTAGTATATGTGACATATTATTTCGGTGTTGTATGAAAAGAAAAAATTATACGAACTGAAAATATAAATAAAAATGCTTTTTATTGTTGCTTTAAAATGCTTTGTAGACTATACAATCGAGGGTGAAAACATAACAGCGCATATACAAGTAGTCCCTAACCGGTGTTTATTGGCAGTTTAACACCAGTTTTTTTCCTTCTTTGTCGATAGTGACAAAAATACGTGAGTGTTAGAATTAATAATAACATGTTGATATATTGGTTGTTTTGAAATAATTATAACTTTAGTATATAAGGTTACCTTTCATTGGTATCATTGACTTAGAGAAAGCTGCATTTTGAGCCTGTACGGGTACAGAATCCATGCTGTTCGCTATCACTCTCTCTCTACTTGTTATACCGTTTGTAAGCGAACAGCATGGATCCTGATCAGACTGCGCGGATTCGCAGGCTGGTCTGGATCCATGTTGGTCGCAAACCCATTATGTTGGTTTTGTCGTGACGCGGCTCATATTATTTATTGATAATGAAGTTGTTACATGCAGCCCAAATGTATCTTGAACAGTAATTTTATTTTCAACCATTGTTTAAGAAAATATTACAACAATTGAAAAGTAATGCGTGAATGATGAATCATCTTTGGCGTATGTATAGCTAGCCTGAACAATGTTTGAAAATGTCTTAATAGGTTAACAGGTGATTATATAATCAGAACAGAACATATATTTTGTTAGATATACAGTTTAACCTGTGTACAATGACCAACTAAGAGAGAGACTGAACATGGAGACGTTTAGAGACAAGTTGTCTTTTATTTGGTGGTAACTTTGTTTTATTAATAAATGAAAGTTTGTCGATGAATGGTCAAAATTAACAGGGTGATCTTTATTCGGATGTGGTCTTAAACATTAAACACTGTGTTGATATTTGGTATTGAATGCGTCGAAGTGCATGAAGTATAAACTTTTACAATTTTTCTCCGGTCATAAACGATTACATATACCTAGATATATCTTTTCAGTACTAAATTGAAATTATTATATATAGAGGATTTCTTTTCCAGCACTAAATTGAAAATAAGATATATATTGGATATATCTTTACAGTACTAAATTGAAATTATAATATACAGAGGATTTCTCTTTTCAGTACTAAATTGAAATAATAATATATAGAGGATTTCTCTTTTCAGTACTGATTTGAAATTATAATATATAGAGGACTTCTCTTTTCAGCACTGAATTGAAATTAAAATATACAGATGATATATCTCTTCAGTACTAAATTAAAATTATAATGTATTGAGAAGACTGTGAAAAATGACTTATTGTAAAGCAATAGTTCGCATTCAATACCACTCAATGTTATGTTCTCTGTAATAAAATATAATATTTGTAGTTCTTCATTATCTTCAATGATTCACTGTGGATATTTCGACGATCACAAAACAGATTGTTAGAAGATATAAATATTGCATACCGATGTTTAAACATCATATCTAAGCACAATCTTCTAAAATGAATTTCATGTCTTAAAGACATTAAAGTAAAATAAAACCATTTCTTTGAAAAAATAGTTAAAATATGACAATTTCATTTCAGACATGCATTTGTTTATTTATGTTTTTTTTAATTTCTTAAAATTTATCTTAATTTTTAATAATAAATTTCGTAAAAGGTGTCTTAGAATAGTCAATATTCCAGACTGACTATGATATAAAACTATGAAATTGTGTAAAAAGCAAGTCAGTGACAAATTTCGTAAAGTTTCAAATGAATTGAAATTATGTAAAAAATATTTTCATAACAAAATATCGTAGAGCAAGAAAAAGATGAAAAACTGTAACCATCATTTGGTTGTCGTGTCATTTGAAGTGTGTAATTTTAAAAGATACGTTGGTTATTTTGTGTAGGCGACCATGGCCTGGTGGTTAAGGTCGGTGACTTGAAACCACTTGCCCCCCTATTGTAAGTTCAAATCCCGACAGGGACATTGGATTATTATATGTAAGGAAGCTATTGAGCTAGATAATGAAACGTCGATAGTTCAAATCAGGTGCCTGCTTGTGCCTGATATAATGCTCAGAGGGGTACATGAGGTCTTTCTCCACCAATAAAGCTGGAAAGTTGCGATATGACTACTGCGTTGGTGCGACGTGAAACCAAATCAAAAATGGTTATTTTGCGAGTATCGGTTATAAAATTTGTCGTCATGAAACTCTATCAACACAATAAAATACTATTTGAATATTTCCGTACTCAATATTGTATTACTAAACACATGGAATGTAACTAAATGTAATTAAATATGTGAGGAACAATCGAAACATTCAATACATTTGTTTTTAAAAAGAATCAATATCGAAACTCCCAAATAGTAAACTTATAGTACCAAACTAAGTTTAGAAATCTGCAGGTCGTTCATATATCAGAACTTCAAAAGGTTCAAACTTCCTATCCACCGATGTTAATTGGTAAATATTAATGGCTTGTTATATAGATTGCATTCATAACGGTTCTCCACTGCCGGAAATATCGGACAAACAAACATCGTTTGTTATTCGGAAAACCTGCATTTTACACAGAGAAAATAACTTTGCGACAATATATATTATTCATTACATCAATTTACCATTTAAAAAGACATAAAAAGTTCGGCAACATCCTTTGAATATAAGCACTATAATATTATCGTACATCTTTATTGATAAACGAATAAACACAAAAATACACCATTTTACCATTATACTTCAATTTATTATATTGTTATAATTGCATACATTCATATTTTTATTAGTAAAAAGCTAAATCACAAGTATGTCAAAAACGTGAACTTAAACACACGAATGCCAAACATGTTAACAGTTCATGACATAAATTTTTAATCATATCTTTAAATTCAAATTGCAGAATAAGTTGCATAAAGTACACTTTACGTAA